GAAACAACGCCCCCAGGCCCCCCCCCAACTGTAACACCCCCCCCAGCCACTACAACGACAGTAACACCCATCCCAACCACTACCCAAATAGTAACAACCACCCCAGGCACTACTCCAATTGTAACAACCACCCCAGCCATTACAACAATATTAACAACCACCACAACAATACTAACAACCACCCCAACCATTACCCCAATAGGAACAACCACCCCAGCCACTACCCCAATAGTAACAATCACCCCAGCCACTACAACGACAGTAACAACCATCCCAACCACTACCCCAAATAGTAACAACCACCCCAGGCACTACTCCAATTGTAACAACCACCCCAGCCACTACAACAATATTAACAACCACCCCAAACATTACCCCAATAGGAACAACGACCCCAGCCACTACCCCAATAGAAACAACCACCTCAACCACTATCCCAATAGAACCAACGACCACAGCCACTACAATGACACTAACAACCACACCAGCCACTACAATAGAAACAACCACCCCACCAACTACCCCAATAGTAACAACAAGCACCCCAGCCACTGCAACGACAGTAACAACAAGGACAACAGCAACCACGAAAAAAATTATTACCCAAATACAAACAACTAAAACAGCTCAAACAGCACCTGTACATCAAAACACGACTCAAGAAAAAGCACAGTACAACTAAAGAAACCACACTGGTGAGTAAAACAACACCAGAAAGAACTCCAGTCACAACAACATCGACGATCTCCACAGCACTGCCAACTACCACATCTGTAGAAACCAAAACTAGTGAAATTACCCGAAGCGGAACCACAACAGGTACCACCACTCTACCTACCACAGAAATCCCCACAACATCGCCAATACCCACAACTACAGGAACAACCACTTCCTCAACTACAAAGTGTCAACCAACGTGCACGTGGTCCAAGTGGTTTGATGTTGATTTCCCCTCTTCTGGACCTAAAGAAGGAGACATTGAAACCTATAACAACATAAGGGCTGCAGGAGAGATAATCTGCGGAAAGCCTGAAAATATTCAGTGTAGGGCAGAAAACTACCCGGACATAAGCATCGACCAGATCGGTCAAGTTGTGCAGTGCGATGCCAATTTTGGGCTGGTGTGCAAAAATGAGGATCAAATCGGGAAATTTAAAATGTGTTTCAACTATCAGATACGTGTATTTTGCTGTGAAGAGAACCCTAACTGCCCAACCGCAACCACAAGTATCATGCCCACAACTACACGTACACCAACAACTACAGTCACAGAAACAACCACCAGAGTCACCACTTCTACTAAACCAACAGTCACACAAACACCAGAAACCACTACCTCTGAAACAACTCCAATCACTACCACTAAGGGACCAAGCACAAGCACAAGCACAACGGGTACCACCACTCTGCCTCCCACGGGAGTCATCACAACATCTCCGATCTCCACAGCATCTCCAACTACCACAATTGTAGAAACCACCACTACAGGAACCACCGGAAGCAGAAGCACAACAGGTACCACCACTCTACCTACCACAGAAATCCCCACAACATCGCCAATACCCACAACTACAGGAACAACCACTTCCTCAACTACAAAGTGTCAACCAACGTGCACGTGGTCCAAATGGTTTGATGTTGATTTCCCCTCTTCTGGACCTAAAGAAGGAGACATTGAAACCTATAACAACATAAGGGCTGCAGGAGAGATAATCTGCGGAAAGCCTGAAAATATTCAGTGTAGGGCAGAAAACTACCCGGACATAAGCATCGACCAGATCGGTCAAGTTGTGCAGTGTGATGCCAATTTTGGGCTGGTGTGCAAAAATGAGGATCAAATCGGGAAATTTAAAATGTGTTTCAATTATCAGATACGTGTTTTGTGCTGTGACGAAAATGTAAATTGTCCTGTTACAACCTCAATTTTGCCAACAATGCCCACACGAGTAACCACTCCAACTATCTCAAGTACACAAACAGGAACAACAGAAGTAACCATGACAACTACTCACTGCTTTTGCCAAATTGAGGACGCTGTTTATGCATCTGGTAAGTCTTTAACAATTTATTAGAATATATTTAAAACAGATTTTTACATCATTTTTGAGTTGGTATTTTAATTAAAGTACAGATTGTAATTATATTAAAATTTTACATAGTCAAATTGAACTATTGCAGATTTTTCAATGATTTTTTTATGTTTTCTCTTTGTATTTTGTGTATTCTAATGGTTGTTTTTTATAGGTGAAATGATTTACAACAAAATAGACAAGGATGGATGTAATTTTTATGCCATTTGTAGTAAAACTTGTTCAGTGGAGCGATTTAAGGGACCATGTAAATCAACAACTCCAGCAACAGCAACAACAACTACACCTACAACTTCAACATCTATACCAACTACGATTCCCACTACAACAGTTAGTTCAACCACTAAAATTGAGTGTCCTGATGCTAAACCTCCCAGAAAGGTATCGATCTCTTATCTTGTACAGCCTTGAAAATACCTTTAATAATAATGGGACTCGCAGGAAAGAACATTATAAATTATTTAAAACTGAAAGACCACATATTTTTTTAAACAATTCTTGTGGTAGACAATGTGCAAAATTGGTATAAAACTCTTGTATGTTAGTCTGAATATTACAGGTTAATTTGTGCAACCTGGTATCTGCAAATTTCAAAGAGAATTAATCTTCCAAATTATTTTTATTGCAAATGTAGTGGATAGCTATTTCTTCTCTCCATTCTGTAATGGTCAATCTTGCCCCTTCTGAACACTGGAGTAAGAGATGGGAATGCCTCTTACTCCTGGGTACGACAGCTCTACACTGGACTGAGAAATCTTGAGTATGCTCAAGATAGTGTGGAAAACTCTGTGTCTTTGGGCCTACCCTCATTGTAACCCACAGAGATGCTTACGGTGTGGTAATCTCCCTTGTGCCTTGACCAACATCCCTTTGCATAACCCAAGCTCTCACTCTTTCTCATGATGGCCTTTGGGCTGTAGTATCATACACGTTGCAAAGACAAAGGGGCAATATGATTCCTCTGGGTTAAAACACACCTTCAAAAATTACCTCTGCAGCCTTGGTATAGGTGGGAGTTTCGGGGAGGATGTCACACCCCCCCCCTTTCAGCATCATTGGGGAGAGATCTCTCATGCTAACATGGGTTGCTCCTCTACTGACTGACAACTCTGTTTCTGATGTATAAAGCAGTGGAGATCTCCAGGCTTTGTTGCTCATTTAAGTTTACACTGGCTGAGCCTCAACAGAATCTTTTCTCACATATGAAAAATAATGGAAGTTCTGTGCATGCACCGGTGCACTGGTGTCATCTACAAGGATTCTGTGAGGAAATGTGTAGGATCACGAACTCCACTCCCCTTGCCACAGAGCTTCCCCTGCCCTCCTCAGAATTCCTCTGGTACTGCAGGTCCAAGAAACCTGATTATGCTTTGGAACACCAGATGGTACATTGCCACAGAGCACCATACTGCCAGGGTTTAATCTTAAGGTTTTCTTTTGCCATAGACACAAAAGTAGTAGGGATATTATCATAAGGCAGAGCAGAACAAATGCTGTAGACAAGGCTGCATAACCCTTTCCAAAACTGTCTGTTTTCAGTTTTTATAAGTTTCAACATTTTCCTTGATTAGCTGCTTTGAGTTGAATTGTTTTAGAAGGTTTCAGCAAAAACGGTGCCACTACTGCTCATCTATTTGTAGTGTAAAATGTACTGCACAATAACTGTCACCAAAATTTCCAAAACATGGATGTCAAACATTAGAGAGAAGAAATATATCATAAGAAACATAACCCTCCAAACACTGCAAGCATCATAACATTTTGGAACTAAAAATCTGTATAAAGCTCAAACCTAATTGTAAGCTCTTGTGATACCAATTCCTTTTTTTTTAAACAGATGGGTGAAACATGGAAGATATCCAACTGTACCACTGCAACTTGCGAGGGAAATAACAAAGTTGTTATACAGAAAGTGAAATGCCCACCTGTAAAGAACATTACCTGCGCCAACGGATACCCACCAGTAGAGGTCTTCAGTGAGGATGGCTGCTGTTACCACTATGAATGTGAATGTAAGTGACAACTAAATTAAGGAAGAACATCACTGAAAATACACAAAACACGTAAATAGAATATATGAGGATTTGTTTTTCATGGTTCCAGGGCTATCTAGAAGGTTGTGTTACTGGCTTAACTTTCTAAATTCTTTCTTGTAAACCTATTTTAGTCTTAGCATCTACATTTTTCCTCTTTACCAGGTGTCTGTAGTGGCTGGGGTGACCCTCACTACATTACATTCGATGGAACCTATTACACATTCCTTGACAACTGCACATATACTCTGGTGAAGCAGATTACCCCTAAATATGACAACTTCCGTGTTGACATTGACAATTACTTCTGTGATGCGGAAGATGGACTTTCCTGTCCTCAGTCCATTATCGTTTACTACAAGTACACAGTGGTAGTGCTGACGCGTGAACTCTATAATGGAGTGATGGCTAATAAGGTAAAATATAGTTCTTTAACGTTTTTGCAGTGTTCCTATTAAGTTTCCTATTTCAGCAAAACAGAAATAAAGTGTACAGGCATTTGTCTGAACCTCATGTGAAATATTGAGGGCATTTGTGTTTATTATAGCACAGAAATGCTTAGGCAGAGGGCATCATAGGATAAAAAATATTATGCCAATTCTCAAGAAGCAAACATATAATAGAAGGTTTAGAGAGCTAGAGCTATCCTTACTGGAAAAATAGAAAATTATGAAAGAAGTGGATGCATTTGTCAGAGTTAAATTCCCAAGAGTGAGGAAGTTCAAAAACTAGGGAACATGTGGTATTGTAAAGTATAAGAGTAAAGTCACCAAATGAAATTAATAGGCAGCAGGTTTAAAACAAATAAAAGGAAGTATTTCTTCACACAACGCACAGTCAACCAAAGGCCAAGACCATAACAGGGTTCAAAAAAGAACTAGATAAATTCATGGAATACAAGAACATCAGTGGTCTATTAGCCAGGATGGGCAGGAATGGTGTCCCTAGCCTCTGTTTGCCAGAAGCTGGGAATGAGTGACAGGGGATGGATCACTGGATGATTACCTGTTCTGCTGATTCCCTCTGGGGCACCTGGCATTGGCCACTGTCAGAAGACAGGATACTGGGCTAGATGGACCTTTGGTCTGACCCAGTAGGGCCATTCTTATATTCTTATGTAAGATTAGATTATGAGTTCTAGCACGAGACACAAACCCATGGAATATGTTATTGAGGCAGGTGAATGAAGCAAGGTATTCTGTTTTTGGATCTGATTAAGACACAGTCTTTTGTAAGGGCTGGTGTGGAAATGCATTGCTCTTGGGGGACTTCTGTCTGATGCAAACTCATATATTGTGTGCAAAAAATCAATACAAAGGGGAACAGATCTACACCAGAAGACCAATTCTCCCCTGATGGTGCAAACCAGCAATCACTTCACGTTAGTTGGCCAAATGGGGATCTCCCCCTGAGTATGGAGATCTTTGATGAGCATAAAGCCGCCCCCAATAGCTCCTTCTCCATTCCATTCCTATTTGCTGGCACAGAAGATGTAATTGAAGAGAAGGGGATGAACTAGAGCATCCATTTACCCCAGTAATCCTAAATTGCTGTTGGCAGTTGGTGAAAATTAGAAGTGGCTTCATGCTGCCCTATTTCATTTTGGGGACTGACCCAGCATTCAGATGGCTCAGGATGGTGGGAGGGGAGATGCAAAGGTGTGTGTGTTTCCCCCCCCCCCCCCCCCACACACACAGAGCTGTGCCAAGCACTCATAAGCCACTGTCAGGGACAGGATAGGGCAGTGTTTCTCAACCTTTCCAGATGACTGTACCCCTTTCAAGAGTCTGGTTTGTCTTGTGTACCCCCAAGTTTCATCTCACTTAAAAACTTACAAAATCAGACATAAAATACATTCTCATTTTTACCATAGAATTATAAAATAAATCTATTGGGATATAAATATGGTACTTACATTTCAATGTATTGTATACAGAGCAGTTTAAACAAATCATTGCCTATGAAATTTTAGTTTGTACTAACTTTGCTAGTGCTTTTTATGTAGCCTGTTGTAAAACTAGGCAAATATCTAGATGAGTTGATGTACCACCTGGAAGATCTCTGAGTACCCCCAGGAGTATCCATATCCCTGGTTGAGAACCACTGGAATAGGGCATATTGTAAAATGTAGCCCAGTGATTCCCAGTCAAAACAGAATGGTACTTGAGGGATCTGCAACTCTCCCTCCTCCATCCCAATCAAATGAGAAAGGAGTTAAGTTCCTAACATAGAAATAATTCCTGAAGAACAATATCACCAACCAAAGGTCCACACTTTTGTTAGCACCTGGAATTTGTATGTGGCAAATGTGAGTAACAGCTTAATTTAAAGAGGAAACAAGTCATCATATAAAAATGATGGGTGAAATGTATATTTCAATGTGAGTTCCAGGCGCTCTCCCTGTGCTAGACACCCCTCATGGTTTGGTCCATTGTGACTATACAATGATGACAGGATTATAACAGAATAACGGCATGAATCTTGCTGCAGCTTAAAAAATTACAGCCTAGTCATTTTCTGTAAGGAAAAATGCTTACAAAAAGACGCAAATGATATTTTCACTCATTATATTTGGCCTTAAAATAATGTGTATTAGCATAGAGCCTGTCCGGATGGAATATGACCAATTGCATAACCATGCTAATTGAACAGGACCACTCTGATAATTAGTCTCACAACTAAGTCACTCGGGGACTTGTAAAGCAGCATCGAAAGGGAAAAAAAACAATATGAGTTATTATTATAAAAACCTGGTGTGGGATATGAGGAACATGGGATATGTCATCATGAAATGACATGATTATAAAGATTAGTAAACAAATTATTTTAAAATATGTGTCTAACAAAAGTGACTCCTGCAATGACATCATTTTTAACCCCATATGCAGATTATCTTCAATAAAACGGTTGTCAACCCAGGCTTCCAGAAAGATGGCATTTCTATTTACATGCTTGGCATCAACATGGTTGTTGAAATACCTGAGATTGGAGCTACCATCACCTTCAGCGGGTTGATCTTCTCAGTGAAACTCCCATTCAGCAAATTTGGCAATAACACTGAAGGACAGTGTGGTAAGATAGATGCATTAATCCTTCTCTTCTCACTCTCCCTATGTTTATTCCCTGAGCCAGATAGTTATTCAAGCTTACCATAGACTGAAATTCCTCAAATGTAAAGTAAATGGATTTAGGGAGAATGTGGGTCTCATTCATTGTTACTTTTTTATATTACTTCAATCTGCTTCTAACAAATAGGTTCAAATGCTTAATATTTCAATGACCTGATTTTTGTCTTATAATTTTAATCTTATATAAGCAATTATTAAGTAAACTCAAAGGAAATTATGCACTTTGAGTATCAAGCAATCTAAACTTACAAGGAGTTTGATCCACTCACTATGCATACCAGTTTTGAATTTGATATTAACGTAATGGGTTATGCACTTTGTCAGTGGCTCACACCCTTCTGATCTGGTTATGTTTGGTCTTCCAGGTACATGCTCAAACACCAAAATCGATGACTGCCGCTTGCCAAGTGGTAAGATCATCTCTTCTTGTACCCAAATGGCTCCCCACTGGAAGGTTGACGATGACAAGAAGCGATACTGTGTAGAACAACACCACCACCCAGCACCCCGACTCCAGCTCCCAGCTGTCCTCCGTCTGCTCTTTGCAAGATAATTTTGAGCGAGTAAGATTCAAAAATGAATTAATTTACTCTTTCTTAACTAAGCAAAAGTATCCAAAAATCTTATAAAATGATGGAGATAAGAACTATATCCCAATCAAGCCCTTATCAACAAATTCAGGGCCAAATCTAGGGTGGCTTTATGCACATATCTGAAGGCTAAACAGTTGTGTGACAGCTGCAGAGGGGGGCAAATGCAATAGAAGTCCTCTGCAAGTGGAAATCACATACCTGATTACACCAAGGAGATCTCCATGATGATTCCACAGCTCTCTAAGGAGAGGGTATGGAGAATATCAGCAAGTCAGGGGCCTGGCAAGTAATAAAACCCAAATCTTCTGGCTTGCAGTTATGTGCTTTAACCAGAAAATCATCTATCTCCCACATGTTTTCCATGGCATATCTATCCACACCAAGTTATATTTTTCAAACAGTAACATCATTTTACATTTGTAAGATGCCTGATGAGTTTGGTTTATGAAAACTTACACAGAAAGACAGACTCCTTTCCCCATAAAAAAATCTAAAATATGTGTACATTGTACATAAAAAATGTTCTACATGATGGTTTCAGACTTCTCAGCCTTTCCATTCTGGAGTCTTTCTCCCACATTAAATTTCAGTCAGAAACTCATCTCAAAGGAGAAGGACAATATGCTCACACTGTGATGTTCCTCTTTGACAAGAATAGATTTTGTATAGCAACTGTGGGAAATGAAACTTTTTTCTTCTCTGTTGTGTTTAAAGAGTCTTTGAAGAATGCCACAAGGTGATACCACCACAAGATTTTTACAAGGGCTGTGTCTTTGATGCATGTCATATGACCAATGCATCCATGCAGTGTTCCGGCTTGGAGATATATGCCACTCTGTGTGCCACTAGAGGTGTTTGTATTGACTGGAGAGGAGAGACTCAGGGCAAATGCCGTAAGTACTGCAGCATTAACAAATACATGTGTTAATGAAATAGTAACTGGAGTCTTGTTCAGTAAGTTCATCCTGCATCTCACACTTACTCAATGTATTTAATATCTCTATAAAAACATGAGCAGGTCTGTCTCAGTGGTTTAGTGGATAGAATATGGCAACATTAATTCAGATGATCCAGATTTGGAACAAACTTTGGATACCTAATTCACAAATGGTTGTCAGCACGGAGCATCACAGAGGTGATACTATAAAGGCCAGATTCTCATCTCAGACCAATGTAAATCCAGTGTAGCTTCAGTGAAGCAATTGAAGCTATTGTGGATTTACACAGGTATCACTGAGACTAAGAATCTGGCCAACTGTGTTTTGCGAAAGGGTGAGCTACTACTTCGCTTCATTGTAGCACCCGCTTACTCGTTACAGGAGAGTAACATGAGATTTCAGAGAGGGGAAGAGAAGATTGGAAAGTTATTGGTGGAAAATGATGATACAAAATGAAGGGTTAAACTAACAGTCTTACATCCCAACTCAACCTAGCTCATGATTGTTACTCACTGCTTCACTGAGTGCTCTATTGACAGAAACCCAGAATGAATATGGGCGGGGCGGGGGGAGGGTTTGGAAAGACCACTTAAAAACCTGGGACCTTAGATGCATGGGACCTCTTTCGACAAAATATAACCCAAACTGAAATGCAATCTCTCAGCTTTTTAACCTTGTTATATTTTCCCCTTCCCATACAGCATATAACTGTCCAGTGGGCAAAGTGTATAAACCATGTGGGCCTCTTAATCCTGCTACTTGTGATTCAAGGTATGGAAAGAACATACAAGCAAACCATTTAGTTCAGTGTGTCCTTATGGATTTTTGTCACTTAGGATCCTTTATTATCATAGTGAATAATTCATCTGGTGAATTTTGGCATTTTTCATGAGTAAAATGTATCATTATTCAGCCAGATCTAGTAAGTAATAAAGAATTTAACCTGTAATTTCTATTGCTTCTTAAAATAACTGAATTATTTTCCCTCTTCACATGTATCCATCATCTAAATGCTGTGACTTCCTGCATGGATTGCACTTGGCTGTTTAACTGTGAGAGACCTGTACTCTAACATATGCCTCTTTCCACTCTAGAGCTGTTCAACACAATGGCACTGGCCTAACTGAAGGATGTTTCTGCCCTGAAGGAAAGTTTCTCTTCAATGCAAACAGCGATGTCTGTGTCTCTGGATGTGGTAAGCAAGATGTTTTTTACTTTAGGAGTAGATAGGGCCCTGGACTGGGAGTCAGAAAGCCTGAGTTCAATTCCCATCTCTGCCACTGACTCTGGGCAAGTCTCTCCAGTTCTTTAGTCTCCCATCTGCAAACTGGGAATAATAGTAGTTATCCTCCTTTGTGAAGTATGCTGAGATCTCCGGATGGAAAATTCCATATAAGAGATAAGCATTGTTGTTGTCTATCTAGAACTTGATCCAATGTCCAGTAAAGTGAATGGGAGGCTTTCCACTGATTTCAATTGGTGTTGGTTTGGGCCCTTGATTGTTTTATAAAGAATACTGAATGTGGTGAATATTGCTTATGAAAGCAAGTGACTAATAATGCTGGCTAATTCCAGACCTGCTACTGCTATGACCCATGCAAGATTCCCATACTCCACTCTGCCAAAGCATCTCAATCCTGCCCTGTAGCACTCCTCCTTTAACAATGCTCTGCCTCTTCTCAGCACAGACTGATAATCATAATTGCCAGTTTGGTCATTTTGGTGTGGCTAAATGTGCACTGATAACTGGGCTCAGAATTCATTTCACTTATATGACCTTAATTACAGCCATTGTATTCTGAAGTGAAAAATGAATACATTACATTTGTTCTACCATCTTCCCTGCCCCCACCTTATTGTTTATTTTAATTTTAAAGTGTGTCCTCGGTGTATTATGAACCTGTGAAACATTCAAACTGACAAAAAGGTATTTCTGATGTGTTGTTTTCAGTATTTATCTGAAAATAGCATCAATGTTTGAATGAATCTGTCAGCCCTCTTCTTCTAGGATCTATCTGCAGGCTGTTTCTGGTTGCAGTTCCCTGACCCAACCCTATCACATTTATTCCACATCACCTCAGTAGCACTAATGTTAATATCTATCCTTTCATTTTTTTTCAGGTAACTGTATAGGACCAGATGGACAGCCCAAATTAGTGAGTATTGCAATCAGTATGTTTTACCAAATATAGATTGTAGAGCTCAAGGAACATTTGGGGGTTTATGAACATGGGGTTTGCCAAACATTCTAACAGATTTTGAGGAATATTTATTTTTGGAAAATGTGCGTCCCTCTTAAATTTTAGAAAAAAAATATGCAAGTGTCTGAATTCTGGAACCCTGTGTAATTTTATGAATGACTAAATTATAGATAATGGGTTCTTCCATTTCTAATCTTTCCATTACATTCTAAAAATACAAGCACAAATAGCAGTCCTAGAGGACCAGCATATTGGTTTCCTTTATTTTCTGGAATTTGGCATGCAAAGTTTATTAGAAATGAAGGGCTGGATGGAGGAAAAATTAGTTATAGATAGCAAACTTTGCAGTCCCAATTCTTTAATTCCATCTAATTTCTACAAGACCCATTTTATAACCTGACGTACCTGATATGAGAATTTTGTTACGCATTCAGAACACACATGGGTGTTCCCTATGCTCTTTCAGTTATATTTCTTGTATCTTTCACACAATCTCTAGGAATTAACAGATTTATGCAAGGAAAGGTGGTCATGACCAGATACTTTCAGTAACATATGGGGTCCTCTTCTAAGGATTTTCAGAGTTTGAGGTTCCCTCATAAAGATTAGTCTAGAAATCATATAAACATGAATGATGCTGATGCAGCTGTGCATAGCTTTAGCCCTGAACAAGTTAACTAGTGCAAATAGTCTGACTTGGTTCTAAACTTTTTTTTTTTTTTTTTTACAGCCTGGAGACCAGTGGAAAAGCAATTGCCAGGACTGTGTTTGTGACCGGTACACTGTTACAGTGAAGTGTACAAAGCGCCCGTGTAAACCACTCCCGCCAGTTTCTTGTGATGACCCAGGATTTGTTCCTGTCCAGTCGCTGACACGAGAAGACCCATGCTGTGTCCAGACTGAATGCCGTAAGAATCCTCTCAGTTCTTCCATATGAAAAATACTGTTTATATCGTGGGGAACTTGTGAGGCATCTTTTCAACATTTAATTTGGAATTTACTTTCTTCATATAGTGCCCACTTGTGCCATCACAACCCCCACCCCTTTTGTATAGCATTTACAAGATGTCTGAAGTGAGCACCTTTTAAAAAAAATACATTTCATTTCCGAGAGAGAGAAAAAAGTATTTCACCAGCAAAGGGAAAGCATGCCTACCAAAAAGTCATTTGAAATGTCCAATTATTTTAACTGTTGGAAGAAAACAAACTGTACTGCCCCTAATAAGTAAATAATACCACCACCAACAAAATCTCTCTAAAACCACCTCATCCCACAAAAAAACCCACTGTCACCAAAAGTTCTAAGCTATTTCACAAAATCTCTGTAGAACTTTTACAAACTGGAGTAGAGGTTTTATGAATTCCTAAAAGTCACCAGAGTCTCGATCCCTATACATTTTCTCTTTCAAACTTGTCTCTGACTGGAGAGAGAAGTTTCCACTAATCTGCTCTTCTGAGCTAGAACATTAAACTATTTGTTTTAAGAATTAAGGTTAAGAATAAAGCTCATTAACTTTAAATGAGGCTTTACAGAAGTTTTTCTAATCCCATCCTCATGCTTGCTCACAGAGCTAGGGTGCTAATTATGGCCCAGTGAGGAAACTTCAGAAGTTCTTGTTCATACAATACAGAATCTTCTGTACTTAACTATGTTGAACTCCTTGTTTTCTGTCTTACATTACATAGGATGTGACACTAGCAAGTGCCCCGAATCAGTGGCCAGCTGTCAACCAGGATACGAGTTAATCCCAGAAGTATTAAATGGAAATTGTTGTACTATCTTCACATGTAGTAAGTATTAAGCTCTTCTTTTGTGAATTATCCACACCTGTCAAGATGTTGAAGAAAGTAGTCTGAGCAGCACCGTGTAAAGAAGTTACATGCTATTGTTATATCTTGTCAACAAAATGACTGATAGCTTTTCGTGTCTTTCTGCTTCTTTTAAAAAAATTACATTTGCATCACACTGTTTTGTTTTTTCCCCTTACAGAGTTAAAACCAGGCTGTGTAACCAATGGAACTTTCTACATGGTATGTACATATATGTTACTTACTCTAACACAAAACATATTAGTTTGCAGCGCCTAGCACAATGGGGTCCTGGCCCATGACTGGGGCTCCTGGGTGCTACAGTAATAACAAATAACCACAACAATGTAATAGAAACAAATTGGTTCAGAATCCTAGCCGGGGCCTAAAACGTATATTCTTTGCACAAAGGCTGAGTTAAACATTGTCCATTACTTCATCAAAAAACAACATTCCATCACCCTCTGCATAAGCATAAGGAATTTGCCCCAAGAAAAATAAGGTACTCATATCACCAACACTGGGACTCTGGTTAAATAAAGTGGGTCAAATTTTCCAGTGTGGTTAAAGAATTTAGCCCAGTATTTCTGATCTCTGAGATCTGTACATGAAGCAATTTATTTTTATTGACAATTAATACTCCTCCTTTGACTTTGTTTAGCCTGGAGCTGTCATTCCAAAAGGTACCTGTGAAAAGTGCACCTGCTCTGCCAAAGTACAGCCAGACAGTCAGAGAAACATCGTTGACTGCCAGCCCATTCCATGTGACACTGAGTGCCAACGGGTGAGTGCCGCTTTTTGTCCCATCACACACAATTTAAAAACCTGCCTGAGAGGAAACGAGCATCCTTGACTCAGCGCAATTCCTTTTTTATTCCTTTACAAACAGGGCTATGAATATAAGCTGAAATCTGGACAATGCTGTGGCGACTGTGTACAGGAGGCTTGTATACTGAAGATGAAGGATAACACAGTCCATGTGCTTCAGGTAACTAATGCTTTTAAGGTTTTGTGAACTCCAGTCTCCTTCTTTCCTTTTCTGTCCCGGTGTTTATCACACTCGCTCGCTGTGTCTTCTCTCATGTTAGATCTCACTCCGTGCTTGGCCAGTCCCCAGGACAATGGGGCTTCCATTCTGATTGAGGCTTCTAGGAGCTACTGCAATAATGATAGCTTTCAGAATTCAATGTTAAAAGCAATGTAGATAAAAACACTGGGCCGGGCTTTGCCCTCGGTATGAAAACACAGCACTCATTGCTCTCAATGGGAATCACTCTCATGAGGGCAGAATCTGGCTGCATGTGGCCAATCGCAATTGGAAGCTTTATAATATTACTGGACAAATCCTGGCGTCAATGAAGTCACGGGAAATCTTGACACTGTCTTGAATGGTATTAGGGTTTGCCCCACTGTGTATTTTCTCAAGAGGAAGAGTATCTTGATATCTTTACAAAGGAAACAATAGGTCATTACAGACAGACATGTCTTCAGCACCAAGTTCACGAGTATATACACTTTATTACAACTTGAGGGTATGACTGATGACAAAACAAAGAGACTGTTCACAGCCACTTTGTCTCCCTTCCAAACCAACCTGTACACTCACTGCATTTTTCTTGGTATCGCTAATTCTTATTGTACTATTATCGCTTGACTGTAATTCAGTAGTAGTTGAGTAGGGATAGGTGAATCCATTATTAAAACGATCTTGAACGTGTAATGGTAGTATATAGTCTCCTCACACTTTCAATGAACTGGGTTTTATTACTTACACAATAGTAGCTATGCTGCTAACATTACAAAAGCCCTCAACAGGAACTCCCCTGATTTAGCCCTCAAGGACTGTAAATGACCTTTTTGCAGAATAATCACACTGTAGTAGATAGTATGAAAAAAAGGATTTTTTAAAGACATAATGCGTAGATTTCTATTAATTTTTTACAACTGTTACTTACAGGTTGGAAAAGTCTGGCATGAGCCTGGTGATAACTGTACCTTCTATAAATGTGAACAAATTGAGGATCAGTTTATTCCTGTCACTGTAAGGAAAGCCTGTCAACCCATATACCCAGAAGACTGCGATCCTGTAAGTACTACTAAATATTCCTCTAATTCTCACGTTTGTTGCCTGGGGAAGGATAGACAAAAACACCAGGACACTGTGTCCAAAGATTATACCTATTATGTGGGATGCAATTCTAATTATAGCCTATTCAAATATGGTCCCTTTGAATTTGACTTGAGCCAAAGTTATGTGCTGCGCTGGATTACAGAGCATGGAGTAGAGAACAGAACACACAAAAAGGAGTTGGATTTTCAAAAGTGTTAAGTGATACAGGAGCACAAATTCCATTGAAAGTGAATTGGATTTGTGCTCCTAAGTCACTTAGGTGATTTTGAAAATCCCACCCAATGAGACTAAGTAAGGTGAAAGAGAGTACATTATTTTGAAGGGGAATTGATTGAAATAAAGCTATCCAACTCAGTCAACATTTTGGGATGGACTGGAACCAGGGCCGCATAGGTGGAAGGTCAGTATTTTATTAACTATGTGACCAATACTGGTATAATCCCTTACTTGCAACACTCCAACTTCAGTCACTCAGAAGTGTATGTATCTGCAGCATGCAGTATTTAAAAGTTGGGTTAGTATATACAATATTAGAATGCTTAATTCTGAGGGTAGAAAGAGAAAATGAGCGCCACTCAATGCCAGCCTATAAAGTAGCTGCCTATTACTGGTATACTGATGCAGAAGTTGCCCCTCACTGGAATAGCTTAAGCTCCCCCAGCCTTGCTTCAAATCAGCATCTATCTCAATGCAGACCTCTTGCTGGCACCAAGGAAACTTGGGAAGCTGGGAAACCCCCCAGGTTGGTACATACGCTCCAATTCTGAATCATTTCCCCCTATTTCCAGGCTGATATCATGCTAAGTGAAGATGGCTGCTGCAAATCATGCCCATTACCCCGTAAAAGTAAGTCATGCTAATTTTGTGGTGTAAAGATAAAATACATGGTCTAACTAGTGCTTTGAAGCATATGACCCACATTGGGTGGCAGGTGCACACATATATTGGCTGGGCTGATGTGATCTGAGGCATTATGCCTGTGTAGAATAAGTTCAGGCAGTTTGTCTTCTGCTGGGGCAAGAGAGGGGAATAGGGAGTGGCTGGGAAAAGAACATTCCCAGCACACAGTACAGTTCCTTTGACAATGTATAGTATGTGCTTCTCCCTCCCTACTGCTAAATACTAGCCATTATGTGGAAGGGACAGGGCCATGCTCACTCTCCAGCATAGCTGGACATGTTCTCTTCGAAGGATAGAGTGACACACCAATCATGGTAGCTGGCCATACATTTAAGAGGTGCCCGTGGCAAAATTCAGTCTGGGCCGTGCACCAGTGCTTAAGGGAGCAGGAGCCTTTTTCCCTCCTTGAAAACAGAAGCAGCAAGAGCCACCGTTTCGCCATATGTAATTAAAACAGGTGAACACATGATGGCAGCTCCACCTCTCTGTTTTCTATCAATAATTGCATACGGTAAACAAACATATTTTCAATTATTTTCCCTTTATCACTCCAGCTTGTAGTCTGCGTAGTACTACCACTGTCATCAGTCAAAATGACTGCAACTCTTCTGTGCCTGTTGAACTAACATACTGCGAAGGCAACTGTGATACTTCTTCAATGTAAGTGGCTACAAGCTCATTACTCACTCTCCTTGTATATGATTGTCCCTGTGTCCTCTTGGCATTCATTCATTATATTGGTGGCAGGGAGCAAATTATGCATTTCCACCTAACAAGCAGGTGTTTGTTTCTACTGTGTTGACTTGAATTTCTGATATCTGCTATGTTACAAGATGTTAATTACCTTAAGATGGAAGCTCGGTGGTATAGCAACAAATGCCTTTAACCTCTGACATCCTAACTTGATCTCTTGCCCATTTAAAAATGAGGTTGCTAGTCTCATCCTGGACATCATTTGTGCACTGATGATGTATGACCTTGGCTAAGTCATTTAGCCCCTCTGTACCTCAGTTTCTCCATCTGTATAATGTACATAATATTTAGCCACCTTTGTAAAGTACTTTGAGATTTTTGGTTGATAATGCACAGTATTAATGTATCAGGGGGTAGCCGTGTTAGTCTGTATCTACAAAAAGAACAAGGAGTCTGGTGGCACCTTAAAGACTAATAGATTTATTTGGGCATAAGATTCTGCCACTCTTACATGCAGCACTAACTTCTTCCACAAATAGTCCCACTGAAATTATATTTCAGTATTGTCACAGTAATAATGTCAAACCGATTGCTTCCAACAAAGAGGCACCATATTTGGTGATATCTAGCAATGGGGGTGTATTTTATTGTTGGTTTTTGCTGCAGTATTTCTAAATCTTTCTTTCTTGTTGGCTTTGTTTTGTGGCCAATCAGGTATTCCCTTGAGGCTAATGTGATGCAACACAAGTGCAAGTGTTGTCAGGAGATCAAGACCAGCAAAAGACAGGTGACCCTGAGCTGCCCTGATGGAAGCACCACTGATTACTCATACACCCACGTGGAGCAGTGCGATTGTGCAGGCACGGAGTGCATCCCCCAAGCCCCTCCCACCACTCCAGCACAGCAGCAGGAGCAAGAACAGCAGCAACAGGAACAGATCCAGCAGCAACAAGGGCAGTCCTAGAACCAGGAGCAGAACCAGAAAAATGAACCAAAACCAGGAAGAGTAGAATATAGACTGAAATAAATCTTTTCACTTTTTTTTCCTAATAATAAACAAGTATCCAAAGCAGCTAGAATCTTGGACATACGGATGAAATTCCTGTATACACGCTAGAAATTTCTGTTTCCTAATTATTTCAGCTTCCCTTATCAATGGGTCTCATTGCTTTGAGTGTCTTCTTTTAACTTGAGAGGTGCAGGATTAGGAAATCTTGAGGTTTGTTTTTTCTCGGCGGTGCTGTACTATAGGACTGACAGCTTTTCTTTCAAGAGGGTGGGGTGAGTGGAACTATACTCTAACTAAAGTCCTTGATGTAAATCGTAGTCTCTTTTTGTCTTGAAATTTTCCCTGTGGTGATTCTGATACTGACTGCCCAAGGCCAAGCATAGAACAAACATCACTGGGTCATTAATAATTTTTCACTAGTCACGGTCATTACACACCCACCTGACACTGACTAATCATTGCACTGAATTAGACAACTTTTAAAATCCCTTTGATTCCAGTTCAATTAGGCAGTGTCAACAATTCAAGTCCAGGAAAAACACAGACTATCGCGCTCACCTTCCTACCTTTTTGTTTGTTTGCTTGTTTGTTGTTTTAGCATTAAAGAGAGTTTAGGTTGTAGAAACTGCATCTTCTCAAACTTCAAACTTTAAAGATACTGGGGGGGGGGGGTTGTGGTGTTGTAGAAAAGAAAGGAAGAAAGAAAGAAAGCCTATCATACAAGGTTGCTGCAGAATATCCTATGTTTACATGAGATCATCAGCATAGTAAATGTATGAAAATTTGGATTCTTGTATTTGTTTTTGGTTAACTGTTTACAGAAGAAATATATTTTTGCCAAAAGGGGTATATGAAGGATTTTTGTAAACAAAAGTAATAATAATAGTAATATAAATTCTTTCCTAGGAAGCTGAGATTTTTTTTAAATGTTGTACCATTGCTATTTATTTTGTTTCTGGGAAAAATAAGTGTATTGGACCATTTCCTCCACAATTAATGTTGCCCCCATTTTCTAGCATCAGTGGGTATCTGGTTGTGGGATGTTTTCTTTTTCTATTTTGTTTTGGGTTTTGTTTGTTTCTTAAGAGGAAAAAAAGTTATGATGATTAATAAACTTTTAGCATTTTGCAACTTTTGTGTCCTCTGCTTTTTTCATTTTGCTGAATCCTTCACAAGCAGTTTGTTTGCCCTACATAATATTTGCTTCCCCATCTACCGCAGAGTTTTCTAATCAGCCCCAGTTCAGGATGTCACTGCGTGGAGTGGCACCCCGTCCTTATTCGAGATTTAGAAGTGTGCTTTGTGTAGAGACTCTAGCCTTTGGTGCAATAAACGCACACACTTTTTGTAAGTAACAGAAGATTCTTTATTAGGATTGGCAGAATGGAAATTGTGTAAATGCCACCCACCTGTTCTCAGACTTTAAGGCCTAATGTACCATATCTAAAACTCCAACAAACTGACCTTGCCACCTTTGTAAATTTAATGGATCTTATTCTGACACTACACTATATTTGCTTGCTTAGAAATATCAGTGTGGTAACTTAACTGTGGGTAATTAGACATTTATAGCCTCAGAACATAGGCAAAGCAGGTCTGCTTATGCAGTCTGTCTTTCTGGGAAATTCACAGTGTGAGCAGGAAACTGTGTAGCCTGGAAAAACCTCAGCTAGGGGGAGAAAGACACAGGTCTCTGCCCAAGAGAGATGATGGCTGGGAATAGTGGGTGCCCATAGTGGACCACAAAAGGGAAATACGGGTGCTGTTGCTCTGAACTCTGACACTCCCTTTTCCTGCTTGCTCTGGGTAACACAGAGTTATCTACAGCAGGGGTAGGCAACCTATGGCACGCGTGCCGAAGGTGGCACACAAGCTGATTTTCAGTGGCACTCATGCTGCCCGGGTCCTGGCCACTGGTCTGGGGGGCTCTGCATTTTAATTTAATTTTAAATGAAGCTTCTTAAACATTTTAAAATCCTTTTTACTTTACAAACAACAATCGTTTAGTTATATATTATAGACTTATAGAAAGAGACCTTCTAAAAATGTTACAATGTATTACTGGCACGCGAAACCTTAAATTAGATGGAATAAATGAAGACTCAGCGCAGCACTTCTGAAAGGTTGCCGGCCCCTGATCTACAGGCTAGATGCTGGGTCTCTGTTCCTCCAAGAATAACCTGTGATGCTTCTCCTCCAGCTCATTCTGGGGGAGGGAAGGTAGGATACCTAGTAATGGACAAGTAGGTTAGTTACACTAACCCTCCTCAGGAGCGGAAGCTCAATCCACCAGCCCAACTTTATGCCACAGGGCTGCCATATGACCCTCAATCTTTTCTCTATCCAAAGCCTGAATCTCAGCAACATAACTTCTCTCATTACTTGAAAACAGTGTGTATTCAGAGTATGCCACCAGCAACTTCACATGGCTCGCTGGCAGAGCAGGACTTGCTCCAGTCCTTGAGAGATTTGTGCCAATTAGGCCATTAATAGAGACTCCCAACTGCCTTAGCAAACTCCCCCTTTTCTACTTGTTCTGTACCACTCCTTGACTCTAAATTCTCAGGTACACTCCTTACTGTGACTACTGACTAGGTGCGATGAACAATGCTTGCGTCCTTTGTCCTTAGCCTCTCAACCAAAAATCCTTTGGGAAGAGTAGCTAAGGATTGACATTGGGTTCCTCTTTGGCTTTGCTGGGAAGTTCATTCATCCATCCTTATTACATTGACTCAGCTGTGAGGCCACTGCATCCATTGTCTGAGACTTTATTGTGATTCCCATTTTCCAATGCCTTGCTGGACATCTTTCCTCTTACTGAGATCCTCACCCTTCAGGATCACCCCTACTCCAGTCTCTGGAATGGCTCCCTCCTATGAACTCTCTCATCTTTTATTCCTCTCCTTGTCACGCTGGTAGTTCTTTCAATCATTCTGTTGATAATGCACTGATATGGATTGTGTCCATAATGGTCAAGACTTGCCACAAATTCACTGCCTTGCAGCACTATCCCTCCTGTAGCTGTGACATTGACAGCTAATGGAGCCTACTCGCCTTCAGTTACACCAAATTCTACATTCTTGCTATCTCCTATTTATTTATGATAGTGCCTACAACGTATTAGGTGCTTCCCTCACATTCAAGGAGGGATGATCCCTGTTCTGAGGCTCTCACAACTTACGGACATTGACAAATAGACAGGTATTAAATGCAAAATTCAGCCAAAAATAAAGTGGAAACATGAGTGAATTTGCAAATGATCTCTTGATGCATCTCAGCTTATTGTGCAGGTCACAGTAACTCTCCTGTGCAGAGAATGTGTAATACACCTGACGTGACACTAGAAGGCACCAGGCTTACAGTTTATGCACCTGAATTCTGTTTTACAGTAATTCCCTCACTTAAAATCATCCAGGTTAATGTTGTTTTGTCGCTGTTCTATTAGAGAACATGCTCATTTAAAGTTGTGCAATGTTCAGTTATAACACCCTTCACTGCCTCCCACCCGATGGCAGGCTCCGTGGATCAGCACCTCCCCACTCCTGCTCCGTGCCTCCTGCCCGCTGCAATCAATTGTTTCGTGGAGTGCAGGGAGGCTGGGAGTGAGGATGCAGCATGCTTGGGGGAGAGGGTGAGAAGAGGTGGGTCGGAGTGGGGCCTTGGGCCTTGCTCAGCCTGGCTCCCTTGTCGAGCCCAAACCTGCAGAGCTTGCATGGGTAGGACTCTGCAGGCCTAGGAGTCGGGGTGTTGTTGGCCCACACCCTCAACAGAGCTCTGGGGCCAGAGGCTATTCACTTACCTGGTCACAGCTGTGAGTCAAGCTGCACCAAATTGGCATAAAGAAATTTACCAAGAAAAAAAAAGGGAAAGCAAAACATCAATCTCTAGATGTGTTTTTTTTGAGTTGGGAAAGTTCAGCAAGAACAGCAGGAGGAGCAGCGGGACAATCAACCCTCTTCCACCTTCTGACTCCACCACCTCAACCAAGCTTCACAATCATCATTGCTGAGTACAGTATTAAATTGCTTAAAACTTATACTGTATATGTATATAATGTCTTTTGTCTGGCGAAAAAATAATCCCTGGAATCTAACTCCGTCCTCCTCATTTACGTTAATTCTTATGGGGAAATTTGATTCGCTTATCATTGTTTCGCTTAAAGTCGCATTTTTCAGGAGCATAACCACAGCATTAAGTGAGGAGTTACTGTATTTAGAAAAAGGAAAGAATTACTCAAGAGTGTTATATTGTTGTTATAGTTTAACAAGTCAGTAGGCCAAATTCTGCCTTTGATTAACCCTTGATTCTGACTGTGCCCAGCACAAGTAACACTGGGGACAAGGACAGAATTTGGCACAACTTATCAGCTATCAGTAACTTATGTCACATAAAATGATCCTCAGAATACGAAGACATCAGGTCTGAAAACTGTTCATTGAAGAAAGAAATTATTCCAGCTGGAGAGGAGTCTTTAATTTCAGCCTAGTTTGGAGAAATCTCCCTGGAGACAGAACCCTCCCCACCTCCCTCCTGAACTTTTGTAGCTAAGACTCCTCTAAAGCATACTGTTTGATTATAGTTTGAGTGACTGACAAATTTTTTGTAGTTTTCACCCAGAAATCTAAGATGTAACCAAATAATGTTTGATCATCATTATTTCCTCTTTAAAACCATGTAAAGTATGTAAAATGTAAGGCCCAGCAGCCCTGTGTCAGCTAAAATTTCATTAGTCTATTCAGAGTTTACTAGCCAGCAACAACTTCTGGATAACTCACTACAGTACACACATCAAAGAAGCATGAACACATTAACCTTCAAATTAATTTACCGTTTTTTAAAGCACCACAAGATGGCACCAGAGCAAGTCATTAAATACCACAACAACAGACTGGTCCTCTCTTCCAAAGAACTGGCATTAGATGACCTATTAGGTATTTTGTGGTAGTTTTGCCACCTCTCGTGACTTTTATTTTTATTTTTTAATGCACTACAGTTTTAAGTGTTTTTCTTAACATCCTAGCCAATGGAGTCCAATGGTTAAGTTTTCACTAAAAAATAAATAAAATTTCCAGCCCTCATAGTTAGAGAGAAAACCTTGAAAATATGAAGCAGGTGTCCCCTCAAGGCTCAGTACCTGAGGAAAAATAAAAAGAATCCAACATGCATTTTTTTTTAATCTCATGATTTTTAAGCCAACCTCATTATTTTGGGGTGCCTGGCTAAGTCTTTAACGCTTGGGTGTGCAACAGTCTGGACTCAGGGCAAAGTCCATTTCCCTATTTTAGAGGCAGTATGATGGAGGGGGAAAGATGGCCAAAGGCTCAGTCCCTCTGCAGAATCCTTCTCTTTAAGAGACCCAGGACAGCATTGCTCAGGGGTTTGGATGAGGTCAGGTTTATATCCTGGTCCCAGATTTCTCTCACCATGTATGCAGAATGGCAACAGAACAGGCCTAAGCTCCTCTGGCCTAAGCATCCACTTGAGTCACTCAATTTCTGAGGGTGATAAGAGAGAAGCTGGTGTGAAGTTATGAGGCAGGTCACCCCTTGTGGCCAATGCTTCTCCCACAAAGGGTGCACAGGAGACACTACTGGTGTCTCCTCAGCTATAAGGAGTGGGCAGAGGACGCCAGTAGCTGTTTTTGGCAGGAGCCTCCGGCACCACCGTAAAACATATCAGGTATTCCTGGCCTGAATTAAGGCAATCCTGGCCTAGGAACAGTAAAATATCTGGTTCCCTTACCCCCTGCTTAGGGGTAATAGACAGAGGTCATTCACAAAGAATCCTCTACTTGGAATGATGGTTACTGAGGAGGGCAGTAGGGATGGGAATAGCAGCAGCGAGCTGGGGAGAAGAAGGATCCCCACCTGTCCACACAAAGAGGTGTAGCAAAGGCAGCAGTGGTGTAGGACCCCTCTTCTCCTTGGTCTGAGGCCTTCCCAAACCCTGAGACTTGTGGCCAGCAAGGGAGGTAGCAAGCCTTGCCCTGGCTGAACACTGAGACTTACAGTAGTGGGCACCCACAGATACTTACCAGGATAGGTCTAGATGAGCCATTTATACAATGGAGAGGAGGGCCTGGCCTCTCCTGCAGCCAGCAGTCTGCTTCTACTGTAGCACTATTGCCTGTA